AGCGGGCTTGCTGCGCGGCATATATGCACGAGTGAAGTGCCGGCACTCCAGCGATGGTCTGTCGTTGAGATCTACCTCCGGGGGCACTAGATCTAACCGGCGCGAGCGCAATAAAAAGAATTCAACTCGGGTTCGCCACTGCAATGAGAAGAATTTCAATCCCTGTGTGGTGGCGGCGTGCCGTCCTCCCATCCCTCCCTTGGGTTGTCTGTTTTTTCTTTCTTTCTTTCATGAGAAGAATTTCACAAGAAAAGCTCCCTCGCTCAATTTGGCCGCTCTGTGTATCTCGAGACCTCGAGAGAAGGCCGCCCGCAAGCCTGGCCCACAAAATTGGCTTTTTTGGCGGGCAAGGACGCGCCGGGGCCCTTCCTACTCAAAAACTTTGACGGGATTCACTCCAGGCCGCGCTGGGCGGACCCGCTCTCACCGCTCTTACGTCCGACCCGACGACCTCCAAGCTCAGCGGCGCCTACGCCTCCTTTGTCGAGACTTCCGGCGCGACCAAGATCGGCGACACCTCACCTGAGGTGAGCTTCAAGACGGAGGGGCGCCAAGCGGCGTCTGCCGTGTGGGCGGGAAAGGCGTTCGCTCTCCCCGCTCAAGAGCAGGAGGCAGAAGAGGAGGCGCGTCTACATTCATATGGACACTTTCTCAGGGATGGGGATAAGGAGCAGCCCGTGCGGGCGACGGCCATTAACGTCTCGAGCAAAAGTCGAACGGCTCCAGTTGTTCACCGCGTAGCGTGGTTCCACTGTCCCAAGTGCGGCACGTCATTTGGGACTGTGGTGGCACACTATGCCAACAGCTGGCTACCACCAGATGCACACGTTCCAAATTGTGAAGAGGAGGCTTGCAAATTCGTATCCGCCGTGTCGTTCTATCGTAGATGGCAGTCATATTTCACAGCTCGACAATTCTGGAATCACGGCGGCGTCGCTGGTAACATCGGTGGCCAAGAGGGGCTCACGCAAGTAGATTACAATCGCTGGAGCGGCGCGTTCTTCGGCCTCTTTCGTGAACCTTCGGCTCGCCTCTTCTCGTCGTGGTCTTATTTCGCGAAGAGCCGCGTGAGCTCTACAAGCTACGCACGACGTGCCAAGGCTGGCATGACACTTCAGCTGCAGGGGGGTGAGCATGGCCTGCACTGCACAGTGCCAAGTCGCTTCGGTCTCTGTCATCCCCCGAGGCCCAACCTCACCCTCGCACTCTCGCGCCTCCGTGGCTTCGCTTTCGTCGGCCTCTCCGACGCCTACCCCCTCTCGGTTTGCCTCTTCCACCTCAAGTTCGGCACGCCTTGCTTGCCTGTCGAGTTTTTGAATTCGCGGCCGACGAACGTGACGAAAACGTTGTTCGATAAATTTACGCAAGGACTAGCTCAAGGAGTGCCCTTTGGCGGCTGCATCGATCAAACGGACGAGGCCTTGTACCTCCATGTGCGCGAGCGGTTCATGATCGAAGTGGCCCATTTCGACGCTTCACCAGCCCGTTGCGCGCAAATTTGCCCATACGCACAGCGAGAGGCGTTTGCACTCGAACCCAGGAAGTTGCGACGACCGCTCGCCCCAGGTGTCAAGCCCTGTTAGAACCGGACCATCAACATCGGGTTCAGTAAAGCCCCTTGTCCTGCCGCGTGCTGGCTCCGGCTCAGGTCAGAGCGAAAACAGAGGGCCCACAGCGACTCGTCGGTTGGGTGTAAACAAGCATCCCCACCAAGTGGCTTCAAACCAAAAAGGGTGTGAATAGAGCAGTCTTGATACTGCTGAGGACGAAGCCACGTGACCGCAGGGCCCCAGTGTGCACGCTTACCTCGCCTTACCTTTTGCCGCGCCCCGACATATGCCGCGATAAGAAAATACTGAATACACCCCTGTTCAGAGTTTTTTGGCAGAGTAAGCCTTATAGCAGTAAGCGCTGGCAGCCGTCCAGTACGGACCGTCCCCACGCGTCCGTCTGACCTGGGGAGGGAACTGATACAGTAACATGACGGACAGAGCCGTTACACTTACACACACTTGTCACTGCACGATGGTCAATGCGAAAACAGTACGCGTCGCCGCACGCAGCTAGTGATGCGGTCTTGGGCTCGCTCGCATGGCCCCCGACAGGCCGAATGTCTAAGGCCAGCTCGGCCACGTAGGCGAGGGCGGCTCCTTGCACCGCGACCCGAGCAGCTCCTCAAGCTCCGTCAGAGCGGCCGCGCTCAGGCCGTGCCGCGCCGCAAAGGCTTGCGCGGTGTCATCCGCCGCCGCCTCGCCCGCCGCCGCCTCCTCCCCGGCGGCTTTGGCCGGGGCGTACCGCGGGTGCACGCGCGGCCTCTCCGGCGCATCCCTCTCCACT